AAACAAGTCGTCGACGAAAACGAGGGGGGTCAATTATGGTGTCAGATTGACGTTTCGTCGAGTTTCGAGGCAAGGCCTTAGGACCTTCCAGAATTGCCTCCTCTGCTTTCCGCGTGGCTTGTGCTAGGTCCTTTTCCACGGCGAGCTTCGAGAGAAGAGAGGCACGTTTCGTGGTCTCGAGCTTTGTGCTTTCCTCCGCATTCGGAACAAATCCCATGTTTGCGCCTGAAAACACAGGGATCGGTGCATATCCCGAGACTCCAATTTTGACAAGGAACTGCAGCACGTTTCGACGGGCCCATAGTATCGGTAGCCTCGCGTTTTCGCAGCATCTGTGATAGAAGTGGGAGTTGGAAGCGACTGCGGTCGTCCATCTGATAAGGACTGCGAGCGTATCGGTCACGGGCCTCAGCGTCGACATTGATAGTGACAAACGGATCATAGGGAGCGGCACGAAAAAGCTCAATAACCATATCTTGATATGTATTGAGCTCATTGAGGCGATGTGGATACAATAAAACAACGCCTGCTTTCCATGCTTGAAAAACCCGAGCCCATTCCGCCTCATTCCTAACCACTTTCCTAGCTGAATACTGATCCTTCCGTACCAATGAAAAACCCCCTGCAAAATCCTTCGCATCGTCGTTGTGACTAAACCCCCGATCCATCGAAGCGTGCAGCTTTTCGAAATCGACATATTGATCTTGGATGATAGCTCGCCACAAGGGACGAGGGATCGGGTCAACGAGAGGCTGCAGTTGCATGAGGTCTATGATTGGGTCAATAGCTTTGTCGGAGTTGAACGATTGACGAAGCTTCCATGTCGTTTGTAGGTGAGAGTCGAGAAATGTGTGCTCCGAGAGAGCAGAGAGGTGAGGTGCTGCTGATAAAACCGAGGCTGGGATAGTGGCAGAGGAGGAAGGCGAGACATTAAGAAGTTTGATGATGTCGTCCAAAGGATAGGACGTGGGCTGAGTTCCGAGTGCTGAATGAGTCTGGTTGATTTTTGCTCGAAGAAGTGCCCACGCGATGTCTTCGGAAACATCGTTCGGTCCTTGATTAGTAGAGTTTGGACGCTTGAGAAGTTCTTGTCGATGTTCTTTGAATTGGAGGAGTTCTTCGGCAGTAAGTCCCTCAGGGGTGGATGAACATGATGGATGAGCTGAAGGATTCTCAGCATGGGAAGGTTGAGTAGAGGAAGACACATTCAACCAAGCTGGCAATGGTTGTGCAGAACCTCCTCCGTCACCTTGTAACCGCATACGTTCATTGACCTGTTGAACGTAGTCCTCCCCTTCCACCGAAGATATCCTGATCGCCCTAAGATTCTCCATGAAGAGGTCGTAAGGAGACCGTTGGTTGACGACATCATCCACAAGTTTCTGAGCGGCGATGGTCCTTTGGTTAACATCTCCAGAGTTGTTTTCGTGGTTTTCATGGTTCATGGTAGCTAGTATGAGATGTAGATTGCAGCGCGAGATGCCGTAGTCGTGAAAAAATGGTGTGAGAAAGGGCTAGGTCTTAACAAAGAATGTCGTTAATATTCTTTCTTGAGAAGGAGAGGGGTCGGCGATGCCGAGAACGCCAAGGCTCACCGTGCTGAAATCGTAGTCTTTCTGATAAGCAGAGGGGTAGGCGATGCCTGAAGACTACGATCCAAAGAGAGGTGAGCTTGAGTTCTGGATGAAGAGCACGACATCGTGCTTACCTGGGTTGCCTCACGTGCTGCTTGATCAGTCTGGATGGCATCCCCAGGGTTTTTATGCCCCCCCTACGGACCATAACGCTTGACTCAGCATCGCTAATACATAGCGCTAAGTCAGAGCGGTGCGGAGGAGAGTCATCTGAAATGACAATGAATGTGATGAGTGAGCATACAGTGAATGTGATGAGTGAGCGAACGATGACAAATTCGGCGAGGCCGAATTTGGGTGCGAGTTTGCCAGCGGCCTACGAAAACGCTCCTTACCCCTGGAACCCGCGTTTACGACAACCCTCCAACTGACACAAAATTTGTAATTTGAAGCTGAACAAGGTATACAGTCTCTTATTCAAATGAACCTGGACCAATGACAATTTATTCACCAATCCATGCAAAAAATTTCATTCTCAGGCTCTGTCT